ACACCCAGATCATGACACAAGCCTAAGGCAGACGCTTAACCAACTGAGCCATCCAGATGCCCCCTTTTTTTTTTTCCCCTCATTTTGGTTTTAATTTGCATTTTCCTAATGATGTTGAGCATCTTTTCATGTGACTATTGGCCGTAAGTGTACTTTATTTGGAGAAATAGTCAAACCATAGCCCATTTTAAAATTGGGTTATTTTTGTTGTTGAGTTGCACAAGTTTCCTTCTAAAATAAGTTAAAAACATATTTAGGGACACCTGGGTGGCTCACTGCTTAAGCAGCACTCTTGATTTTGGCTCACGTCATGATCTCAGGGTGTGAGATCCAGCCCCTCCAAAGACAGAGGTTGCAGTCGGCTTGAGATTCTCTCTCCCTCTCCGTCTGCCCCTCCCCCGTCCCTAATAAATAAATACTTAAAAATATATATATATTTAAAGAAAAAAATAATCAAGAGTGCAATTGGACAAAAGTAGTGAAGGCAATATATAACTCAGGGACTAGTTTCAACAACACTGGGTCAGACGTGATGAGGAAGCATTCAGGAGTCACACCATCCAGATTCAAAACCCAGTTCTGCTTCTAAAACGGGGCGCCTGACATTTTGAGCAAGATATGTAACCTCTTTGAGACTCACTTTTTCCGACTTTAAAACTGGGATAGTCCGTGCCACTTCAAAGAGCTGTTGGAACAAATGAAATGACGCGTGTGAAGCTTACTCAGTGCTTGGCATGGCGAAGCACGCTATAAAAGTTAGCTACTATGATGACAGGCCACAGGCTCCGGGGCTCTCCAGATTCAGCCCGTAGAGGATCCTGGCCCCAACGGCAACAGCTTGCTACCCCACATGCGGCGCCACCGCGCACAGACCTTTATGCGCATGTTCCCCTCTCCACGACCTTTCGCGGGTGCACTTCCCCAGCTCTGCGCAGTTGGGATCGCGCAGCCTGACTTCCGTTTCCGGTGGAGTCGAGGCGGCTTCCGGCGGCGTGACCTGAGCGCGTTGGTCTGGCGGAGCAAGAAGGTCTGCGCTGGCGGCCGGTAACCGGGCAGTGGGTGGGAGCGGCCGGGTGTGGCGCATCTGACCCTCGGGAGGGAGGGACGACCTTTGTCTTGCGATCCGAGCCAACACCGAACTGGACTTCAACCCGATCCTGTTGCGGAGCATTTTTTGTTGCTTCTTCTAGGCCTTCACCCGCACCCCGGGATTCCTATCACTGGGGCCCTGTGGGTGTGAGTCGGGAGACGTGGGTTTCATTCTAGCCTGCGCCACTGATCGGCTCTCTCTGACCCTGGGCGGGATATGTCTGTCCTTTCGTGGGCTTCAGCTGCTTTATTTAGAAGATGGAAGTCGTATTCTCAGGGATTATAAGCTCCTTTGGGGCTGGAACTGACTTTTATTAGTGTTATACACTGTCGCCTGCCCGGGCACGGAGCAAGAACAGGTACTCTGTAGGTACTCTGTGTCTGCTTGTGTTGTTTTGGGTCACAAAACCTTTGGGAAATCTAGTGAGCGCTATTGATCCCCACTACCCACCTCTCTAAATTCCGCCCCGCCCCTCCGCTTACAGACAGGATGTTTCACAGATACCATTGCCAGTCCATGGATCCCAGAGCCTGGCCTGTAGTAGACATTCAAACATTGGCAGTCATTATATCGTAGATGTTCAGTTCATCTTTTTTAAATGTACGACTCACTATCCTCTTCACAGGAGGAAGATAGATATCCTCTTAGAAGGTTTTAATCGTGGGCCTGGCAGTATGTTCTTCTCACTTAAGTCTCCTAACAACTCTAGAAGAGAGGTATTAATTCCCGTTTTTGCAGATGAGGAAATTTAGGAATAGGAGAATAAACTTGTTTTAGGCCATTCACCTTGCGAAAGGTGAGGGCAAGAATTCAGACCCGTATCTGCAATTCCAAAGCCCTATGTTCTTAACTACTGGCTGAAAAAGGACTAGATGTAGAAGTGTATTTGAATGTGTTCTAGCAGCCACTGTTGGGGAATTGTTAACAGTATGTGGTGGCTATTATCAACACAGATGGTCCCAAACCAGACATTTCATGCTGTGGAAATACTATTTCTCTGTCTCCTTTTCTTCCGTAGCATCTATATTGCTTTTTAAATAATAGCACAGTTTACATCCTGTTTTCTGTGCCCATGTTCTTCAATCCTTTTATCTTTGGGGAATATTGATTAACGTGTGTTGACTTCATATGGCGGTATCAGTTGTGTTGCCTTGTTATTCTGCTAGCCCTCCAAAGCAGGTGTTTTTAATTATAGTTGAACTATGAGGTGATATGTTTAGGCATTATCTCTTTTTCTTTTTTGTACTGCTTTTAAAGGGACTGTATTAGGAATCTTGGAAGCACTGCCAACATGTCTGATGTTCAAGAAGCCACTAACCAACTCTTGGATGTGAACCTTGATGAGAACTGGAGGTCTATACAAGTGACAGGAAGTGATCCTAGAAGTGAGTCTGAGCACCTCCAAGTCACTGTTGGAGCCACTGTACCTACTGGTTTTGAGCAAACAGCTGCAGATGAAGTGAGAGAGAAATTGGGGTCATCATGCAAAATCAGCAAAGACCGGGGCAAGATATATTTTGACATTTCAGTGGAAAGTCTGGCTCAGGTTTGAATGAAGCAATATTTAAAATAGTTTTCTAAAAAGGTCATTTTATGATTATTTTCTGGCTTACAGACCCCTCTTGAATCCTTTTTGCTTTTCTTTGCTCTGCCCCACGTCTGGTGATTTTAAAGTATTACTCATTTTCCATCCGGTACTGATTTGTAGGTTTGACTAGTAGGTTTCCTATATTTTTAGAAGTGATCCTAATATTTCCTAAGGATGAGTTTCACTAGAAAGAATCCTGTGTGACTTTTGAAGAAATTCTGAATATCTGCCAAATGTCTTTGAATTTCTTTACTTCAACATCTAGCTGAAGTTTAGACTTTGGTGGTGAAGCAGATAAGGAGAGATTTTTCTTTTAATCTGTGTCAAAGAAATTCTTGCTCAAAAGTAATTAGGAATCATTGAAGGGAGAAGTCGTCAGCAAACTGCCATCCCACTTGAATAAAAGCTAACCAATATTCATTACCATATAAGCATCGTGAGAGCAGGAATCGTCTGGGGTTTTTTGTGTTCTTAGTGTCTGGCATATAGTAGACACCCAGTAAATATTTGGGGGATGTATTGGCAAGCAGATATTTTCTACCCAGTATCTTAGTTAATAACCTCAGCAGCTTTGTGAAGATAGGTGCTTTTATTACCCTCATTAATCATTAGGCTTAGGAATAAGTAATTTCTGCAGAGTCGCTCAGCTAGTAATAACAGCTGGACCTCAAACCCTGTGCTCTTAACCACTGCACTCTACAGTGTACCCTAGGGAGCCAAGAGGGAAATATGATAAAGCCCCACTTGACTTTATCTTCCTTTCTCCCCTAAACCTGTGTTTCCCCAGTAGCACTTCAAGCTATCTTTCCATCTTCCTTCTTACGTTTCTGTAGGGAAATAGAAGCTAATGGGTAACCAAAAACATGGGAGACTGGGGATATGGGGAAAATTTAAAGTACAAATTACAGGTATTAGCTTCTTTAAAATGTTTATACCTAATTTTTATATTTAAATGTTGATAGTTCATGTGATTCAAAAGCTTTCTTAGAACTTTGTTTCTAACATTTTTTTCTCTTCTCCAGGTTCATTGTCTGAGATCAGTTGATAACTTATTTGTGGTTGTTAAGCAGTTTAAAGATTACCAGTTCAAAGAAACAAAGGTGAGTTTTCCCAAACATGGTAGCTGACTTTCAGCCATCTTCCCCAAAGAGATTATTCCCACATTTTGCATTCTATCGTCTAGCATTACTGCTCCTTTTGTAATATAGAATACTGGGAGGCTTTTATAATAAAAATCTGAAATTTGTTGACAGCCCATTCCAAAAGTTGTTTTTATTTATTTATTTATTTATTTTTAAAGATTTTATTTATTTATTTGAGAGAGAGAGCATGAGCAGGGGGAAGAGACAGGGA